CACGGATTTCACTAAGTATACGATAGATTGGAATCTTAAAGACCGTAGTGATGCCTGTCCTCGCTTTCAACCTTCTATTTGCATCGGCTACGTCATTCCGGGTGTAGTCATCCCGGTCATTCCGACGTCCCTTACCCCGATTTTTGTGATTTGAGCCACGGTCCGATTCCTCAGCGCGGTCACTTGATCGGCTGGACTCTTGTCCGACCGCGTGCACTTTGCCAGCTGACCTCTTGTCCGCTACTACCAGAGTTGTTTTCGCGGTAGATGCCGACACATCATCCTCTACACGGATGTGCTCATTGATGCGTTGCATTAGCTGGCCCATGGATGTTGGCTGTTGCATGGTAAGCGAGTCCCCGGTCATTTCGACGTCCTTTACCCCGATTTTTTCGATTCGAGCCACGGTCCGATTCCTCAGCGCGGTCACTTGATCGGCTGGACTCTTGTCCGACCGCGTGCACTTTGCCAGCTGACCTCTTGTCCGCTACTACCAGAGTTGTTTTCGCGGTAGATGCCGACGCATCATCCTCTACACGGATGTGCTCATTGATGCGTTGCATTAGCTGGCCCATGGATGTTGGCTGGTGCATGGTAAGCGAGTCCCGCAATCTATGTCTGACCGGGAGACCTCGCTTGTATTGTGTGATTGCAAGGTTGACCGGGCAATCCAAAATCTCGTTGAAGGTCTACCAATATCTAGAGTTGTATGCCTTCAATGTGTCGCTCGGTTCCATTTTGACACTTAGTAGGTGGTCAACTTCCTTTGGTGTTTTTGTGTTGGTTTTGAAGCGCGTCACGAAGGCCTCGGCCAACTAATGCCACCTTTCTATGCTCCCTTCCGGCAACCTCTCGAACTATTTCAAGCCTAGTTCGCCTAAACTTGACGAGAAGATAAGGCACATAAGTGCGTCATTTTGCCTATGCCCGGCCATGACCTGTCGAAAGTGACTCACATGTATGTAGGGATCGGTTTTTCCGTCGTAGAGTGTGAATTTAGGCTGGTGGAAGCCTGCCGAAAGCGGTGTTGTTTCTATCTCCAGGGAGAAAAGGGTGGCGCTCAGCCTTGCCAAGTCTGTATCTAGAAGAAGTGGCGCTGCTTGGCGAGGTGAAGGCATTCCGACCTCCTCGCTGGCGTGAACCCCATAGGATAGCCGCTGGAACGCCGGCACCCTCTGAGCCTCTCGCAGGCGAGCTCGTTCCTTCAAGACTGCCCGTAAATCCTCTGAACGAACGGAATAAGAATACCTCGACGTCGTCGCCGGACATGAGGGTCGATAGGTGCTGTCTTGCGCGCTGGACTTCTCTTCGTGCGGGTTGGAATCTCCAACCTTGTAACTTCTGGTAATGGAAATGGAAGCAGTGTGTCGCTGACTCTGACTGCCTGAACGGCGGGGTTGGGTGTGCTCACCGTGATCTCTCACTCCAACTTCACCCTTCCCTTTAACATGCTGCTTCAGCTCCTCCATCTCCGCCACCATTCGCCGGATGACGGTGTCCTGGTCCCTTAACTTGTGTTCCAGACGTTTGGCATGTGATTCTCTCCGCCGTCGATGACCGTCTGGACTCCGTGAATGACCATAACTTCTTCCGCGCTTATCCTGCGCATCTTTTAAATGTCCTCCTAGAGAAGTCTCCAGGTCCGCCATCAGAAGAACAATGGTGGGATGTCTTTCTCTCCGTCTGCCTGACTCCGGGGTGACTCCGTCGATAGCAGACAACGGAATCTCGTCGTTGTTCGCCATGGACAGCGATCAGATGAGCCTGGAAGACAAGGTTTTGTCTTTCAAAGCTTCCCACAGACGGCGCCAATTGTGCGGGCAGCAAATATTCAGGCAAGCCCGCACTCTTTTCTTCCAAGCTTCTGCCTGTTCGATCGATCTGCGAGCACAACGGCGGTGAGCTACCCGGCGGTGTGTGGTCGGAAAACCCCTCCGACGATCATGTTAGACACACACACAGGGATAGAGAGAGAGAGGACTGAGTTGTGTTTAGTATTTTTTCTCACCAAATTGTGTCATCTGCCAAGCATAGGGGGCGCAGACATGCTTATATACCTTCTGCGCCCCAAATCTACTCCTAGTGATCTCTCGACACGTAGTACTGCTATCCCATCTGTCAGCACAAATCTTGCTGAACATCACCTAACCCGACTGCCAGCCCACTCTACTGGGAGCTCGACAGCCGGGCTGCAGCATCTCGGCTGTCAACAGCCGTGTTGTGCAGTTGGCCAAAGCGCTCTGCTCGCCGCGCTCCGTTATGACCGAGCTCGGTTGCATCCCGGCATTACCGAGCTCGGGACAACTCACGCTGGTCTACCATCGGCCTTCTTGCCGAGCTAACTCTTGGACCGTGGAACAACCACGCGTCGCTTAGCGCCGGACATCCCGTTTGACCAGCTTCTAAATCGTGAAGCCAAACAGCCCAGTCCAACCATGCCTTCCCTTATCCGAGCAAAACCTCTAAGGATGGGGCCGTGTTACCGCGGCCCAACCTTGTTCGGCCAAATCCGTCCGGCCCAAATCTGTCTGGCCATTATCACGGCCCAAACCAGATCATAAATCTCCCTCTCACAATCCATATCAAAGAGGTTATCCCCTTTATTAGAAATGAATTTATAAGTAGCAACAGTGGAGAACTCCCCACTTGTTGAACCCTTCCAATGAGGAAAATCCGGGAAGGTAACAAACCTGGGAAGTTTAACTTTCAGCACACAATCCAAGGCTTCATTAGGAAGATGAGATTTGATAGAATCCACATCCCATTCACCCTCATCAGTCATAAGATTATCAACAGTCTCCGTGTTAATAGAATCCCAATTTGGGTATTGAGACGCTAAAATAGCCTCCCCACACCACAAATCATGCCAAATTCTCACTTTAGTACCATCACCAATGCCCATTTAATGCAATTTCTCAAAATGTCTCTGGTTTTAAGAACTCCTCTCCAGATATGAGAGGAGCTCCTTCTACCAACATAAGAGAGAAAATTATCATTCTTCAAATATTTGCTTTCTAACACTCTCACCCACAAACAATTGTCCTTGCACAACAATTTCCACCCCATCTTAGACATAAGAGCCAAATTGTGGTTTTTAGCCTCCCTGAGGCCAAGGCCTCCCATTTTCTTACTCTCACACACATTGGCCCAATTCACAAGATGAATTTTCTTGTTATTCACAGTGTCAACCCATAAGAAGTTCCTATTTAACTTATTAATCTCTTTGCAAATGTACATAGGAACATCAAGAGTTTGCATAGCATAAGTAAGGAGAGCTGAGGTTACCGACTGAATAAGAGTGGCTCTCCCAGCCAGAGAAAGCAAATTAGCTTTCTACCCAGTGAGTCTATTTTGAATTTTATCAAGAATAAATTGAAAATGACTCCTGCTGCACTTTTTATGATGCAAAGGAATGCCTAAATACTTTCCCAAATCTTGGGTCAAGGAAATGCCACACAAATTGCTCAAGGACTTGGCTTTCAAATTTTCAACAATGGGAGAAATAAAAAGCTTGGATTTAAGAAGATTAATCTTGAGACCAGACTGCAAACTGAACTCATTCAAAACCCCCATGATATTCTCACAATTTCTCTCATCAGCTTTACTAAATAAGAGAAGGCCATCAGCAAAAAATAAATGGGATATGACAGGGCCATTGGCAAAAGCCATAACCCGGAAATGCCACACAAATTGCTCAAGGACTTGGCTTTCAAATTTTCAACATTGGGAGAAATAAAAAGCTTGGATTTAAGAAGATTAATCTTGAGACCAGACTGCAAACTGAACTATTCAAAACCCCCATGATATTCTCACAATTTCTCTCATCAGCTTTACCAAATAAGAGAAGGCCATCAGCAAAAAATAAATGGGATATGACAGGGCCATTGGCAAAAGCCATAACCCCTTTCCACCCCTTGCAAGCAACTTTATCAATGATCATGTTAGACAATCTTTCCATACATAAAACAAAAAGATAGGGAAAAGGGATGTCCCCCTGCCTTAACTCCTTCTCCATATTAAAAGTGGTTAACTTTTCACCATTCTAGAGGATAGAAGCTTTGATATTAGTAACACAATTCATAACGAGATCAACCCAGTGATCATTCAAATTAAGTTTAACCAAAGTATGATGAAAAAAATTCCAGGACACATTATCATAAGCTTTCTCTAAATCAATTTTCAAGATCAAGTCACCTGTTTACCTTTTTTACCTCTGAGAGTGTGAATAATCTCTTGAGCAATAATGATATTATCACAAGTAGTCCTTCCAAGGATAAAACTGCTTTGGAAAGGACCAACAATGGAGGATAACAAAGGTCTAAGTCTACTCACCAACACTTTAGTAAGAGTCTTATAGAGAACATTGCAAAGACTAATAGGTCTAAAATGGTTAATTGATTCAGGATTATCAACCTTGGGAATAAGGGTTATAAGGGTGTCTTTAAAGTTTTCAGGAATAGATCGATTCACAAAACAAGTTTGGATAAACTTGCAAACTGAGGGACCAACAATATCCCAATTGGTATGATAAAAAAGGGACTGGATACCATCACTCCCCGGGGCTTTAAAGGCTTTAATACTTCTGATAGCCTCCCACACATCCTGGTTGGTAATATGTTTAGAAGGACAATGTTATCTTCATTGGAAAATTTGGACTGCAAATTAATGGGGCTAAAAGAGGTGTGAACAGTAGCACCAGATTTAAACAAATCACAAAAATAATTCAGGACATGAAAGCAAAGGTCATCAGGATTAGAAATCCAACCCTCCTCCCTATTCTTCAGAGTTGTGACTCTCATTCTTCTTCTTTAGCAATGGTAGATATGTGAAAAAATCTAGTATTCCGCTCCCCGTGAGTAATCCAATTAGCCCTAGACTTTTGGAACCATAAAAGTTCCTCTTGGTAAAGGATAGTGTTATAATCTTTGACAAGTTCTTTCTCAAGCAAAAATAGATTATGAGAATAAATACGAGATTGAGATTTTTGAATACCTTCAATCCTACCCAAGAGCCACCTTTTTTTTCCTGAAAATATTTCCAAAACTATTTTTGTTCCAACTCAAAGCATTTTTAGTAAGTAAATCAATGGCCTCAGGAACAGAAAAATGACTATCAACCCAAGACTTTTCAACAACATTTTTGAAACTAGAATCTGTAAACCAAGCAGCTTCCAAACGAAAAGGTCTAGCTGAAAGGTTAGGAGAATTCATACCTTGAGTGAAAACAATCATGGAAGAATGATCAGAGTAGGTTCGGGGAAGATTCTTAACCGCTCCTTCTGTAAAAGCAAGTCTCCACTCTGTATTGCACACAGCTCGGTCAAGTCTTTCCATTGTATTAGCAAGGCCTTGCTGACCATTAGACCAAGTAAGATTAGGACCAGAACAACCTAAGTCCATGAGATTGCATCTGTTCAATCTTGCATTGAATTTTCGAGTTCTAATACTGCTTTGGTTTGTTGAGAAACTTCTCTTCTCCCCTTGCGATGCGATATTATTAAAATCCCATGCCACAAGCCAAGGATGGTTCATGTTATCTGCCGCAGCTTCCAAAATTTTCCACAGATTATCCCTAACTCTAGGATTATGGCTAGCATAGATGGCTGACAAAATCCAGTCTGAGTGATTATCTCGTTGAATCTTGGCGTGAATACATTGAGCATTCACCTCTAAGGCTTTTACGGTTGCACGAAATGGATCCCACAGAATCCAGATACCACCACTCTTGCCCACAGGATCTACATAAGATGAAGCGGTGAAACCCAACTTGTTGAAAAACTACCCCATAGCACTGAGCTCAACTTTCGTTTCCATTAATGCTAAAATCGATGGCTTGTAATTCTGAACCAATTCTTTCAGAGTTCTTCTGAAAATCTTATTGCCTACACCTCTACAATTCCATATGAGGAGCTTCATGGAGACAGAGTTAGGGTATAAAGGAATGGGAACAGATTCAGGCATTCCCAATATCTTTCTCACTTTCAGATGATCGAAGACCACCGAATTGATGGAGCTCACTCGGGCTGAGATGTTCTTTTCTCCGTAGTGATTTATCTCCTCTTACTCTATGATGAGGCGGGCTTCTCCTATCCACCACTTTGTGCTTACCAGGTGAATGGCTTCTTTCTCTTGATCTATGGAAAGATAGATTGAGTTGGTTTGTATCTTGTGTTGATTTTTTGTCTTCTCGTCTTAATATATTTCTAGTTATTAGATTATGGAATAATTTCAAAATATGTAATTTTCAAAGTATGATCCAAAGTTAAGAAGGCATTGGAATGAAAAATAATATATTTTATTAATTGAATTAACTAAAAAAAAAGGAAATAATATAATTTTCTACCTTAAAAGTTAAAATAAAATTATACAATGGGGTCACTTTCTATATCTTTCATTTTCACCGTGAATAAAGTGTGAACCTTCTTTTGAACAATATTATACACATTCAAAATAATTAATCAGAAAAGTATTCAGAGAATTATATCAATCGATCACAATTATTTTAGGTAAAACATACATCTTATTAACTTTATATTTATATCATACATTTCATTTCAAAAAAAAAAAAAAATTGTGATTCATAGCACCCGTTTAAAAAGTTGGATTGGGGTGGGTTAGGGCAAAAATAATAACAAAAAAATAAAATAAACTTTTTAGTCCCAAGTTAAAAATTATCACATTCAAATCATAATCATTTCATTTTTTCTCTTACAAAAGTCAAGAAAGCTAAAAAGCCAAAAAGTTTATCCCAAAAAATACTTTTTAGCCTTAGGCTAAAATAGGCAAAAAGTCAAAAAGTCAACCCACATTCTAAACAAAACCTCGCACTTTGATTGAATCTGAATTACAAATCATTTAAATATATATTTTTTTGGTCTAAATTTTTTATTCTTAACATTACAATTTTATTTTTTACCTTTCCTTTCTTTCACTTAATCCATAATCCAAACAAAACTTAAGTCCCACAACATAAGTGTTGAATTTAGATCACATATTTTTTTTCTTAATTTTTTTTTCATATATAGTTCTGTAGCATTACTCAAAGAAAAATCATTTTTTTGAACGTTAACAAAAAAAATTTCAAAGATAGAAAGAAAGTTGTGAAAGGTAAGGCTTCTCTTCATCTTGCCCATGATTGGGTCTACCACCGGCCTTACATTGATGATTTATAGTTTTATTTTCGAAGTCCAAATGTATAAATATAGCTTCAATAATATAAGTATATGATTTTGTTATTATTAATATTTTCAAAAAAAACATAGTTTTAAAGCCATATTTATAGTCCCCTTTTTTTTTTTAAATAAATAAATATGATGCATCAGATGACAATGATTATTCAATAATTTGATTATTTTTGTTAATGATTTACCAACTTAAAAACAAACTAAACAAATCATTAAAATAAGGTCATCGTAGGTGTGGAGAGGAGTTTTTTTTTTTTTTTTAATCGAAAATTGTATGGTCCACATTTTTCTAGGCCTAGTTTGGAAATAAATCATTTTAATAATTTTTTAATTTTTTATAAAAAGATATGTAGAAAAGTAAAAAGCGATGTGACAACTCACTACAACATATAAGATTTTTAGAGCTCAAATTTTTTAGTCTCTAAAAGTGAAAATTTTGTTGCAAAAGACATTTAGGGATCAATTTCGATCGTCATAAGGATAGTCGCTAAAAGGTCGTCCCGAAAGGTAAAAAACAAGGCTTTTAGTGACAAAATTTTGAAAATATTACTAATAAATAGACTTTTAGGAACAAAATAATTTAGTCTCAAAATAATTTATTTTTTGAGACAAAAAATTCGGTCCCAAAAGGATAATAATTTATCACTAATATTCTATTTTCGTTGCTAAAAAATATAATGACAATACCTTTTTCAACAAAAATATTTAGTTCTTAAAAAATAATTTTATTTTTAAATTTCCGTCTCTAAAACTTTAATTTTGTATAGTGATTTATAATGACTTTTTTAATTTTTTTGACTAAAATAATTACTTCCGAAACAAGACAAAGTATCAAATTGAGCTTAAATGCATGTGGGTTCAAAAACTTTACCCTATGGAGAGGATTTGGGTCATCGAATATTCGAATGGTCTAAATTTGCTTTTTACTTTTGGTTTTGACAACCTAAGTAGTGATAAGTTCTTTTATTATGCAAAAGGAAGCAAATTTTATTTATTTATATATTAAATTACGAAAAAAATATTGTGTATATATGTGAGATCATTTTATCGAATCTATTTTTTAAAAAATAAATGGTATATTTTTAAAAATATATTTATCATCATTTTTTGAAAGACAAATGTGATAACATGAAAAAGTTATGATTATTAGATCAAACTAATTTTTTTTCATAAATGATATACACTAAGGGTTGTATAAATGAATGATTCGAATTATCGAAATAAGATTTATAGTGAGTCTCATGAGCTCTCAAATTCTCTCATGTTAAGATGTGAATATGAGAGACACCCAACTCAATTTATATATAAAGTAAATGAAATTTGAGAATATTGGTTGTGTTTGGTTTGTAATTTAAACCATGATTTCACACCTATTATCAACCCCCTGTTTGCTTACACTTTTCAAATCATGATTTCAAATCAATTTCAAAACACATTTTGAAAGCATATTTGATAAACAAGAGAGTTTTTGAATTTTTTGTCTACTCCGTCGTTCGCCCGGACATCTGCCTAGATAGTTTTTGAATTTTTGGGTCTATCTAGTCGTCCGGTGGGTTGACCGGAACAACTTTTTTTTTTTTAGCAACTGCGACTGTTATCAAAAAAAAAAATTATATTTGTTTTTGATATTTTTTAAATATAGAAAATATTTTTTTGAGACCAAAATGACAAATTATTTGGATATTTATTTAAAATTAACAAAAAAAACTGAAATAAAAATTAATTTGTCATAGTAATTTTTTAAAAATAAAAAAATAATAATATTTTTTTAATATTTTAAATATACAAATATTTTTGGAATTTTTTTAATTTTTTAAATAAAAAATTTATTTTTGTTAATGATTCTTTTTTTTAATTGAATTTTAAAAAGAGATTGATTACAAATTTTGATAGAATTTTCAATAAAGTTTTAAATTGTGTGTTTCGTTATGAGTTATAAGTTTTTAAATTAAGTTTTAAAAATTCTTTTCAAAACTGATACTCAAATAACTTTTCATAAACTCAACAATCATTTCAAAAATTCAACATTCAATTCAAAATTCAAATCAAAACTATTTTCAAAACTTATAATCAAATAATTTTTTTCTTTTTAAATTAAAATTTCAAAATTCACAAACTTAAAATATAATTTCACGCTTAAATCATAATTCGCATAAACCAAACGTTACCTTAGGCTTGCATTTAAAAGTTGCTTTGAATTTGATGTAACAGTTTTTTTTTTTTTTTTTGAACACTTGAAGATGAAATGTAACAGTTTGAAGATGAAATGTCCTTCGAATTAGATTGCAAGAACGTGCGCACTTGTGTGTGTCGGAGTGTGTGTGAGAAAGAGATTGCCTAATGAGAACCTTCAACGCATCAACATTGCTGTAACACTTGGGTAAAGATTCCTCTTCACAGAGAAGATTTATGTTGGGAAAAAGTAGTTTTGGCCTTTTTTTTTTTTTTTTTTTTTTTACAAAATTTTTACAACAATATATTTGATTAAAAAAAAAAAATCATCTAATGTTTTATCAGTTATACAAATTAATAAATTTTGTTTAAAAAAAATTAATTAATAATGCCATTCAATAAAAAAAACATAGTTCACTTAAATAATGTAAGGTGCAACATTAATAAATAAATAATAAATTGTAAGATTTGTTACATATTGTTAATTTAAATGTATCATATTTTTTAGACCTTATTTATAATAGTGGTGATCCCACACCATATTAATTTTGATTTTTAATGCAACTTTTATGTTGAGTTTGAATTTTGAAATTGTGAATTAAAAAAATTTAAAAAGGATAATTGAATAAAATATGAAAAAATTGATGACAAATTTAAAAGAGGTACATGGGCATCAAGAATAAGTTGGATCGTTTGGAGTGAAAATGACAAGTTTTTTTTTTTTTTTATATATACTTATTGAATGGAAAAAAAAAATTAAAAAAAAATTTTATTACCATTTTACCATTATATATATTTGGGAATTTCTCTATCTATTCTCAAATATCACCAACTACATTTGTCGATTATCGCTGCTGGCCACCAAAAATTACATTAACACTGGAAAGTCACTGAGCGATGGACACATAGATTGGGATAATATGGTCTTATAAACTATTTTTGTTCTTATGGCTCAAAAATAATAGAGTTTGAGATGATTGTCCTAAAAGTTCCAAAATTAAACCTTTGACCCAAATGTCAAAAAAAATTTCTATTTTGTTAACTTTTTTCTCTACAAATTTAAGATATCAACATAAATATAATAAGTTAATCTATTTGCACAGAAATCAATCATAGAATCAAATACAACCTTTTTACATTGGTATGAAACCTACAAATAAATAAATAAATAAATAAAAATTAAAAATTAGAACCCACCTCTTGTGAGAAAATTATATCCAATTCTATAATAATTTTAAAACTTTTCCTATAACATTTGTGCATTGTTTTTAATGAGAGTATTGGATTTCTCTCAAGTTCAAATTTAAGTTTAATTGTCAATGTTAGGGCTAGTGAAGCCCATAACAAATTTTGTTTTCGATGATCCAAACCATTCATCTTATAGATCCCTCCATGTATGTCATTCATAAAAAATAAAAAAATAAAAATAAGTCAATTCAATAATCATAGTATTTTTATTTTATTATTTTTGTCTTTGAAAAAATTGATGACAAGTGTTTTCTGAAAAATAGACCATCAATTTTTTCAAAAACAAACGTGATAAAATGAAAATATTATAATTATCAGATTGATTTAATTTTTTTTCATAAATATCAAATAATTTTA